TTAATTTATTTTTCAGAGTTCAGAAGTTACCCACTTGATTTCTTGCCAGCCGACAGCCCTCAAAGCAGTTCGACTACAGAGTTTGGTCCCACCCAGCCCTGACAAGATCTATATAAGGGATCTGCTGGTTAAAAATGAGGTAATTATGTACCAAATCCTCCCATCCCCCCTCCCCTTCGGGGCATACCTGAGGTTTGTTCCATACGGTGTAGAATTTGACCCAAAATGAGGCCCACCCAGTCGGGCATTTGACTTTCGTGTCAAAACGCTGGTCAGCGTCGCAAGCAAAAGGATTTCACAATTGCTTCATACGGCATGGGCACCGCGGTCACGACTCATTGCTCCTATGCTCACTGTTTTGTTAGAACAATTGAAGGGCTTTCTGGAACGTACAATGTTATTGAAATGAACAAACCTCCGTAAGACAGCTTTCCGAGACTTAAGATATTTCGGTTATGTTTAGTAGGATATTTACACTTGAATAAATGGTTTGACCCATGAGAAAATTTTTGAGTAGTCGCTGGTATGGGGGATTTGAAGCATTTTGAATAAATTTATCTTAACCCGAATACTCTGAATGAAAAGATAAAACACTTATGAAAATTCAGCGTGCATCTTGTCCAAACTGACTGCACGCATTTATAATCACTGTAAGAAATTTATACCTGGTAAAATTCCTTTAACTGAAAACTCAGCAAAGGGATTTTAAAGAAAAAAAATTTTCAGCCTCAGGGAAAACACAGATTGAATGACTCAAACAAAAAATTTGTACCTGTAAGTGATTTTTTAGAAACCTGGTTCAATTTCGCACTATTTAAAAAAGTCATCGTTACATGGAGAAGCCATAGATTGTGTCGCCCATATACAGTAGCGCTCAAAAGTAAGTGACCAGTCGCGTCTCGTTTCCTGCGCGACGAGAGTCGCGTAGCGCGAGAATCATCGAACCGGAAAGTTTTGGGAAGACAGTGTAGGATTCTGGATTCCACACCGTGTACCGGGTACTGGTACTCGATTCCGTGTTCTTTGAAATTGGAACTTGGATTTCAGATTCCAAAAGTTGATTTTGACTTCAAAACGTGAGTCTACCACTTAATGATTTTTCCAGCAAATAACAGCACTTTTTCCCAATTAAAATTCTTGAAAATAGATTCACCAGTTAGTTTTAGAGCCAAAACGTCCGTTAGTTTTCCGGTAATACCCTCACATCAATCTCTACCACTTACTTGCAGAGGTATCGAGTGAACAAATTATTGGAGGACGAGACAGGATTGGAAACGGCGCGCATACTCACGTGACCCAGCCAGATGTCATATGCTGATTGGTGAATTTTGCCCAGTGTTCACGTGCACGGCCGATTTGCGCGTTTTGTAGAACCCGAGGTGAAACAGCCCAAAAGCAGACATTTCGAGAAACAAAAATGATACCATTTTACAATTTCACTTTTTTATTACGTACTCTCTTCTTGGCCATCTAATAGGCAGCTTTAGCCAAGACAAGGCGACGCCAGTGAAGACACTCGCGCAGATCTAACAATCTCCTTAACTAATGGCCGAGCACCGGAAGGGGCGTTTAGCCCTTTTCGCGCAATCGTTTTTTTTCATTTGAAGTCGCGTTGTCCTAGCTAAACCTGGCCCATTGACTGTCCAAAGCACCCTCCTTTCTTCTATGCAAATTTTTTTGTAGTCAAACACGTTTCGAACTCTGATTTTAACTCTTATACAGATCTCGTGTAAATAATTTATATAAAATCTTCGCCTATCTTGAGAATAAATATATTGAATTTTAGGAAGAGTGTAATAAAGCCTGTACAATATACATTTTAACGAGCATTATTAAAAATATAGCCTTTTACCATGAATATAATTGGATAAATGCACTATCTAGTCGTCACTTAAATGAATCTTAAGCTTCACCTCTTGGCTGCTGTTTCAGATTTCAGCTCAGATTCAGAATTGTTTGTAATATCATAGGTGACGAATTACTCCTTAATTTTGGCGCGAAATGTCATCATTAATTTGTAATTTCACATGTGAAATTACAAAATTGCTATGGCAACCTTCCGTACGTCTCAGTGTCAAGATGGCGACGAAGTTTAAATGCCTTGAATGAAGATGTCAGGGCACAAAAAGACGCTTTAGAAAACCTGAACACACAAGAGAACATCAGGAAGGACTCTAACAGGTACTTTGCCGAAAAAGTCTGAAAAATGCTGAACTTTATAAGCCAAATTTAAGGTCTAAACATTTGAGAGAGTGGAGTTCTCGATCGATACGATCCAGGATAAACATGTCAAAAATCCAAAATTGCTAACGTAATTCGTCACCCATGATGTTAATAGGTAATCGAATGGTATACTCGTGAAATTAGGGAATAATTTCACTCGTCACCATTTGATTACACATACTAATACCACTATTCAAGTTTGTGTTGTGCGTTTACTGGTGATCGACAGTGACCGGTCATTAGCGACAGACTGTGGAAGGGAGAGCCTGGAGCGCAGATTATTTCAACTTCCGGTGTGTGTAGTGAAGTCATAACCGGTGGGCTACTACTGGAAAACTATGGAAAGCATCAACGTATTGAGTACACAGTTTTCATAGTTCACACGACACAGTGGACGAGTTCTTGTCGTATTTTTTACGTCGAACATGATCAATCGATGATCACGTACGATGCTTTTCCCAGACGAAAGTTACGAAACGGTGGTGCTTTTTGTTCGTTATCTTTGCTTCTTGTTGACCAGGGGAGTAGAGACGTGTGAGTATGAAGGGACTGGGGCCTTGGGTTCAAACAGTGGGCGATCGTGTCTAGATCTATGTCCAGCACTTTGTGACGTCACCTCATCTACCTCTTTACTTCTGACTCTCATTCCATGTTCACTCCGAGAACGCGCAAAGTTTCTTCTTCTCTGGCCGAGAATATCACCCTCAGACGAGCCAGTCATTCCCCTTCGAAAGTCTGAATGCTCAAGTCTCTTACTCGCCTCCATACAAATCTCTATAAATTTGGGTAAAACGTTTCTTCGAATATCTCGTATACGAAATATTCCTCTGAGCCGAAATTTGGCGACGGTCTTTCCCACATTCTGGACTTTATCTACTGAACGGTTTTGATTTTATTTTGATCTATTTTGAATGGCGTGACACTGAAAACCAGCAATCGGTTTTGAAACGAGGTAATGTTTTGAGTAGGTGGGATATGATCATCCTGGTGTGTGTAGTCGTGAATAGATTACCTGTCATATTCAGAATGAAAGTTAGTTGTGTCTCACGTTATCTCTATTGCATGACGAATACCGCATAGGTTATTGAAACGTCGGTTACTGTCACTAAAGTCCTATTCAGGACTACCCGGATCAATTTAGCTTTCTAGTAAACTGCCCACCTACCCCTCCCCTAAGCCATCATTTTGCCTAAGTAAGAAGTAAGTGTTTATGTTAGCTTGGGGGAGGGGTAGGTGGGCAGCTTCCCAGAAACCTACGAATCAACCCACTTATTAAGGTATAGTTTATTGGTCGAGATTCGTGCCGTTACCGTCAACCGTCACCGTTCCGCGAAACGTCCCCCGGCGGGCGGGACAGTCTGAGGTGAGAGGCGTTCAGGCACTTGTATTTTCGAGTATGTCTCACGTGAACAGTAGGTGCACTGAAAGAGTCTCGAGAACCAAACCAACAAGACCTTGCCCAACTTGAACTAGTTTATAAAAGAACTGGTTTCTGTGGCTTACATAAGCAGTGGATAGTGAATTACGCGGTGAAAAGCATAATTTCCCTTTTAAAAACCGGGCTCTGTTGAGCTACTTCTGGACTTACCTGCTTCTTCCACTGTCGCGACCGTAAATCCTGATCGTTTTATCAAAACTTCCAGTCACAAATTCCTGACCCGTGGGGGAATAGTCCACGTCCAGTACAGCTGAAACATGACCCATGTGCACGTTGATTGGTTGGTTAAAACGACGAATGTCAAACGTGTAGAGATTCGAATCCTCATTGGCTGCTGTGAAGATGAACGACTCAAGTGGATTCCACGCCACTGTGTTGCTCCTCATCTCCATGACAACCTTACGGAGAGGGGTCGAACCGCGCATATCATAAAGGATAATGCTGCGATCGGAAGCCGTGCTGGCAAGCAAATGGGTCTGGAGAAAATAAATGGGAACGGTTCTCAAATACCACGTTGCTAGCTTTGTCAGAATACCCCTAAATCAATGATGATCAAGGCGTTCGCTTCTCCACGACGTCCGAGCGAAATTATTGCGCATATTGTTTTGCCCATTGCTCCTTAACATAAATTTGTGCGTGGCAAATCTAATTCAAGGCTGGGCTCTAGCGGCACCCAGTGGCCCCTGGCGCCTAACTCATGCTCCCCGACAACTAGAAAAATTAAATCTTAGTTGTTTTCATAGAAATCAACAGCAATGCTGGACACCCTGCTGGGGCACCCAACGAGAATATAGTTCAAAACCACTTAAACATAGCATTGTTAAACGTATTTTAGTATTTAAACGGTAGATATAGGCATATTTTTATCCCCTAAAAATTTTTCATCTGTTCGGATTTCCTAGCTGAAAGTCTAGTGATCCGAAAGTAATAGGGATCAAAACTTACCTTTTCGAATATTTCAGCCAGATAAAAGGCTCCCGCAAATTTTAGGTGACCTTTTTAGAGTAAAAATCCGTAAAAATGGGCAATTATACCATTTCTTAGATGTTCGAAAATCCTAGGAGAGGAAGGCAAGCAAGAAATTTTACTACAAATGTTCCGAAAATTCTAGATCTCAAGTCGTCTTCCGAACAGATATTTACCGAAAATTGACGTTGGGTGCCCCTGACCCTGGATTTCACAGGTCCAGAGCAGACGAACACCCAGCATAGCCTTGAAAATCCAATCATACTATCAGAGAACAGATTTAACGAATTTTGACAAACATCCTCCTCTATCCAGGAGCTAAGCCACCAAATGGGATTGGCTATTTTAGTTTTTACCTCTATGGGGTTAAACTTGACACTATGGATGGTGTCNAAAAAAAAAAAAAATATTATAAAAAAAAAAAAAAAAAATAGTTGTAAATACGTTAAAAAAAAAAAAAAAAATACTTTGACAACAAAAATGTTGGTGATACAAAAAGTGGGGGTGTGGGACAACACCCCCCCCCGTTTGAGAAGAAAGGGGGGGGGAAAACCCCCCCCCCTAAAGAGGGGGGGGGGGGGGGGGGGGGTGGTCATCCAGACCCGGAGAATAGGGGAGCCCAGGTCCCCCAGGCCCCTCCCCTGGATCTGCCACTGATGAGGACCCATCAACTTGAAAGATTTAAGATGGCTGTCCCGTCCATCTTAAAGCAAGTCAAAGAAAGTGATTGAGTAATGCACATAAACTACTGCATTACAAGTAATCAACGTGTTACCCCGTTAAAGTCAGGAAATCTCAATATTCACCACCTTTACTAGCCTGTTCCAGGTTCCAAGAAAGTGAGGAAAGCGGAACAGGAAAAGTTACCTGAAAACCGCATAGGGGTTAGGGAAACATGGAGTAGTGGAGCCTGTAAAAATTGTTCAACACCTCATTCAGGTATATAATTGGTCATGTACAATTGCTTACGCAGAGTCTAACAAACTTGTCAAGTATGTGAAACGCTACACTGCACCTTTGGATATTTTGACATTTAACATTTGACACTAAAAATACTTTTCAGGAAGAGGGCAGGGTAGAGGGGTGGATTGAGGTATTACAGGCTCTCCCCTCCTTGTTTCAAGCTGTTTTTTTCGTTCATTAGCTATTTCACTACTTGCTAGATTTTTTTGCTTGTCCACACTGACGGAGAGCCTGGCAACAGGCTACAGCTCTACTGGACAGGGATCATCGTACCTTGCCTATGATTGTATTTACTGGATCTGGTGATGATGCAGTGGCACTCAAACTCTGCTCCATGCTCCACTGCTTTATAACTTTGTCATCTCCAATCTAGATGCAAGGTTTAGGAATGAGTACATGAGTATGTGAGTCCAGTTTGGATCCTCCTTTCAACAGGTGGCAGGTGCTCTTCAAGCCCCTCATGGACTCCTGTCCTATAAAGTTGCTACATGCACTTCTGAAAGAAGCTAGAAATCTTGTTGAGCACTCTTAGCTAGATGTTGTTTCCATGTAGGCTCAATTTATAAAAAAAATATCAAGCTAGACTACAATAGAATCCTGATTTCTCGAAACCTCAGTTTTTCAAAATTCCAAATTATTTGAAACAAATCTAACATCACTTCACCAGTCAAACACTGTAATATTACTCTCCATTTTTCAAACCTCCTGATAATTCGAAACCATCTGCTTTTCCCAAGGTTGTTCCAATAATAAGGATTCTACCGTAGTTACAAGTTTTCAAAAAAGAGCCTTTTTAGTTTTTAAAAAGCTGATTCTTGAGCACTTGAGTGCAGATTTATCAGATATACTGTAAATACAAAAGTCGAGAAAACACGCATAATGCATGAAGGCAGTGATAGCTCAAAATGATAACTAGAGATCTTTTCTATTTGTTTCATAAATACTGTAACAGACCCGTTAAATTCTTACTTCAATTCAAAAATTATGGTACTTAAAAAAGCACCACTTTGAATTAAAGAGCAACTTGCCTTCCAGGATAGAAGAAAATTAGCATAAATCAAGCATATACAATGTACAATAATGTATGTTCACGTATCCAGCAATTGCTGCTGTCTTTTTGCCCATGACCAACAATTTATTGAATTTTTATAGTTACAAATAATCAAAGAATTGATTTGTAGTTTTTAATCTTGTATGTTTGTAATAAATTATTTGTTTTTAAGAAAAAATGAAGGAAAACAGAGATAAAAATATTGTCTTATGGGAATTGTTGTGCAGTTTGTGGTAGTTGCATTTGTAAAAAAAATCAACACTTACAGAGATGAATGTGTCTCCTAAAGAATTCACACATAATCCACGAACAAACCCAGAATGTGCTGTTAGGGTTCTGAGACATTCACGGCTTGGTAAACTCCACAGACGAATCTATAATAAATTTGAGTTGTATCTTAATTAGATGTTACAAATTAAAAAGGTTCACATGTGCTTGTAACCTCTTCATGTATTTTGTCAATAGAACAACCACTCTCTTAGACCAACAATTATACTTCTACTTCGACACAAGTGGTTAAACACCCCTGCTTCTCTCCCTCTCAGCCCCTGTCCCTTGTGTCATAGTGCAAGCAACACTTTTACTTCTTCATCAGTTCAGAGTTTTAGTCTGAAGATCAGGAGGTTCCACCATGGAAATCCTGGATACTACCAAAAATCCTGGTTAGACCAACCATTCAAGGACTATAAAACAAATATCAAAGTCTTCAAATACACATTCATGAGTATAAGGTGTTTTCCTGCAATCCTGCACCTTAAAGCATGATACTGTATGTGCAAATGACAAGACCTAAATTCAATAACTAGGAACGTCATACGCCACTTGCACATCTCCCATAATTCACCTTGTTTGCCCCCCAAAATTTTACATAAGGGTTGTTTTCAATTTCCCTTGGGACGGCTGTAATACCCGGGAGAAATGAAAAACAAAGGTTATGCAATACTTTGAGGGGGCAAATAAAGTGCATTTATGGGAAACGTGCAAGTGGCCTATGCTACAGATTTACAAAGGCATCTTGTTAAAGATATCTTGCTAGTATTTTTTCTCAATGGTGGTCTATTGCTGCTAGTGATCAACTGAGGATCAAGCTAGTATTCACCACTTGATCATTTCCCATAATGCACCTTGTTTGCCACCCCAAACAATATTTTGCATGTAACTTTTGTTCTTAATTTGGCCTTGGTATTACATTCATCGTGACGGAAACTGAAGACAATGCAAAATTTGGAGTGCAAACAAGGTAAATCATGGGAATTACACAAGTTATGACAGTTGTCCTTACAAATATGAAGGTCAACGAATTAAATTTGAGAGAGACAGAGTGAAAACCTACCTCCCCATCACATGAGCCAGAGAGTAAGACGGATAAGCTTCTAGGGTGTCTAGCAATACAGTTCACGCCATCAGTGTGCCCATCTAAAGAGCTTACAAATGGTTTAGCAAACACACGTTCGAGTTTAACCGCGTTTAACGCACGTGTATACTCGCGCGGTCCTTCGAAAGGATGTAATGATGGATCAAGATTGCGATGGAGTTTGTGAATATCTGACTTGTTCTCTCGTATGTAATCGGCGGGATTCCTCGAAAGGACTTTAACCTTCATTGTAAAGTGTATGAAGCCTTATACAAAGTTCCGAGAGTCCTTACAGCGCCGCCATGTTTCTTTTAATCGCCCGCACTCGTACTGAGTAGCGGAATCACAATCACCTCGATTCGATGAAGACTATTCCCAGTTACCATGGCAATGGAAAGTGCACTAGCGAACAAGATGGCGGTCGATTAAGAAACAGCTGTGTTTTGATGTCGGTTTTTTGCCTGTTGTGTCGTTCAAAGTTTAAGCTTTACTATGCTCTAAGCAATGGTAAGTATTATTTTATCAATCTATTGCCTATATACAGAAACTCCGTGAATCAGAGGATTAAAATCAGCCTTAATTCCATGAAGCAATGTGGCTCACATTGATGCATGCATGAAAGCTTTCATTCCCCGCATGTATCTTTTACATACGAATAGAGACGTCTTGATCGCTGGGTGCTTTTGTTGTTCTTCTCCGTTTGCCGATAAATATCTTTCTTTTTGCCACCATAATCAACAAAATTTTCCATTGAAAGTCTCATGCTTCTATTTAACACTCGCCTTTTAATAAGCTTTATTGTTTGCAGAAATTATTGTGACAGTGTTGTTGTTTGTCAGTCTATCGTTTCTTTTCGTAGCAAAAATCAAACGCATTAGCTACCATTAACCCTCAAGGGAAATCATTTCCAAAAATCATANATTGTTTGCAGAAATTATTGTGACAGTGTTGTTGTTTGTCAGTCTATCGTTTCTTTTCGTAGCAAAAATCAAACGCATTAGCTACCATTAACCCTCAAGGGAAATCATTTCCAAAAATCATATATGCTATATATCAGTTTCATATGGACATCCACAAACAAAGTAGCCGACACCAAATAAATGGCTCAGTACAAGTATATTTCAAACCCCCTACCCATATTTTCTTTGAAATGAACCTTTATTCACGGGACACCTCTACTATACTAAGCTGACTTCTCTGAAAATCCTGTGTGTGTCTGCTTGTACATGCAGGTTTCACTGTTCGTTGATCTGTACCTACTTATACACCTCTCCACCCTCCCCCAGCTAAGCATTGACAAGAAATAAGCCCCCAGGGTCACTAAACGGAGGAAATAATAACAATAGGTCTAATTCCAAATTTTTATAGAGCGATTTTCGTATGACCTGGAAATGAAAACTCGTGAAAAAAAACTGAAACAACAGACCAATGGAAATAGAGCAATTTGATTGGTTTGTCGAATGGATACAAATGAGGGTGGCTTTTGGTTGGTTAAGTGAACGCTCGGCTTTAAAAACCTTATGCCAGAAAAACTTTCTAGAAAATTATCAATCAATACTTTGCTTTGACATCATAGTGCAACAAGATTGGCCAATCAAACAATGCCCTCTCCATATTAGAGTTTTCTTTGGCGGGAAAACAAAGAGGCCATGTTTTGATCTTTTCATTGACTGGCTGATAAAACAATTAACAAACACTTGCCGAAACCATTTTTCAAGGTCATACAAAAATCACTCTATTCTAAGTAGTGGAGAGATGACCATCCTTGTGACTCAAGTCCTGATTAGGCCTGTCAAGTGAGGCCCAGTGTCAGGGTAAAATAGTGACAAGCAATGCGGCCTTGAAACAGGGGCATGCGACAAGATGAAATGGCAGCAAATGATTTAAAGATGGGTCAAATACTGATAGGGATATGGCCTACTCCTTAAAATGAAAAACAACCGTATTTGAAACTCAGACGAGGGACATACGTACTCCCCCAAAAAGGGCCTTGACAGTGACTGACATTTCAGCTCTCCTAATAGTCAGGTCTGTTAAGGTCAGGATCGTTACAGAGTTGACAAAAGCACCAAACTTTGCACAGCGATAGCTTATTGCAGTACCATGAATATTGAAAGGGGTGCCCAATGCAAATATGCCACTGAAGCGTGTTAAACAGGATTTAATTATTCTAAATTTCACCTGCTGGGGTGCCTGTGGTGTTTTGATTTAAAATTGTTATTTAATACCTTAAATCACTCAGAATACTCTTCTCAAGTTGTAAAAAACAATTTTACTTGAACATCTGGCATTTTCATCCATTATTAGCTTATTGATTGTATAATTAAGTTGATTATTACTGTGCCCTTAAAGCAAGTCCACAGTCCGCTCACATTTTCATAAGTCATTTCTAAGATAGCCTCGTCTTTGCTTTATAACTTGCAAGTACTCAGTTTCTGGGGTTCTCTTCTCCTTTTCTAATGTATTTCAATTAGAGGAGGCCTTATTGTGTGGCTTAAGCCTTATTTATCAAGTATTACTTGTTATTACGTGTCACTTTAACCTAAAGAAAGCGTATGGCATAGCGATTCACACACAAAATTTCAGAAAAAAAGAAATTTGAAAAAAAAAGGAAAGAAAAAGAGTCTGTTGTATCACATATTATCAGGGATTTATGACTGTCACAGCTGTTCATGAAGAGGAAATAACGAAATGACAGAACCCAAAATAGTTCTTTCCTAAGGAGGATGCCTTTCAGTCTCTCTTTATCTGTTAGATGCACGTGCATGTTTTGACAGAGACGAAAGCATCGTGGCAAAAGTCATATCATATTTTACAATTCTCGCAGTTTTTTCTAAGCTTTACAAAGCAAAAACAAACAAAACAAGAATCTGGTCTCATTAATGAAAAAAAGGAACAGGTTAGCCCAAGCTTCACAAAACAGCATGGTTTATCATGAAGCCTCTACATTTGGCACTGAAGCACTCATGTCCAAAAATAATAACAGCTTATCAATTCCTAAAAGTGAGACTCAAGTGGTACAAGATTGACTCAAATGATAAATGGTGAATGGTTTAACTGCTGAAACCGTAGAAAGGGGGCCGGACTAACTTTTAGGGCCAGTGTTTACATGGAGGAAGAGGACCCCAAGTAGGCATGGTAACCCACTTAGGGGGGTATTAACCCGCCTGTCCATATAATCTCTCATTTTAATTTGATCACGTTTACATGATAGGAGGGGTGACCCTTCAAGGTGGGTAGCCCAGTCTGCCACACTGGGTAGCCCTCTCAGCTGAGGTCAAATTTTGCCATGTCAATGTTTCAAGGTGAGGTAACCCAGGATAGTCGGGGTCGGATTCGTGATACATCATATTCGCGCAAAATTCACTTTGGCATTGGGTGGCTTCACATAATTATTTAAGGTAACGATAGAAAGCCACAACACTGAAGGTTGCAGTAAGAGCAGCAAGTGAGCGTAGACGTGGTTTGCCAGCACTTTTCTTGTTTACGTACTTAGCGACCATTCAATAATCTTGAGAAGGTGCACCCCAGGATGGCAGGGTTGTAAGATTGCATGTAAAGGAGGGTTATTTTTTTTACCCCACCTAAGCAGGTTACCTCACGTACCTGGGGTCCCCCACCTTTATGTTAACAGGCCCTAAGTCTCAAGAACCGTGAAACTGGTAATAAACAGTATACCTAACCCGGGACTAGTTGTGATACTACTTCCATCTTCAAAAACGTCAGCGTAGCAGCCAAAGGAGCCATTAAATCGGAGTAACACAAATATTAGATTGCGGTTGTTTCATGTGTCTCGTTTTGTGACTTTTCTTGTGTTCGTTTTTGTCACCATCTCTAAATTTCAATCATGTTCAGAACACCCCTACTAACAAAATATTTCATAAAGCTCTTTAGAATGATATTGAGCAATAAAAACAAGGTGTGACCAAGAAGCAAATTTCTAGGCTCCTGGTGTGGCAACATGGTATAAGTGAATGCAAAGTTTTGCAGTATGTAATCTGTCAGAAATCTGTTTGAGAGGTCAAAGTTGGGGCTGATGGGCTTCTTTGTCATGACCACTCCATTATTATAAGGGACCAGGCCATAATTATTGTTGACCCTTGCTTTTTTTGGTATTTTCTGTAATTTTCCACAGCATTATTTTGTGAAAAGTTGGTAACTGAATTGCTCTTTAGGAATTCATGATCGTGAGGTTTCGTAAACACGGGGTATTGCCTAATTGCAGCAAACAAATTACATTCATTTTTATGAATGATGTATCATTGGTTGGCTAAAAGAGGCCTTGTTCCTGTAACTTTCAGCTCTTCTGAAGTTTGTTTGTAAATTGTAAGGCACGCGACGACCTTCCTTTTTTTTGAAAGATCGTACAGACCTACCATTAACACTCTGGTGTGAGGGCTCTAAAGTGAATGAGCTCCTTACAGGTGTCTAGGCATACAGGGACCTCATACACTTCTTTTTAAATGCAAATGTGTAAAAAATAGCGTTAAAAATTCCTGGAGAGGCATGTTTTACAACCTCGTCCCCAGGGCTTAATAAAAAGGTAGAAAAAGGTAAAACGACCATATTTTACATCAATAACTCGTGACAGTAATAATGACTGATAAACTTGAGGTCGACGGTGCGCTCCTTTTACCCCCTCTCTCCATTAATGCTCTTTTTTAAGGGTATTTAAAGCTAGTCAAAGCTACATAGAAAGGAGAGAAGTTAAAATAAGGATGTGTTGACACCGGGGATCAAACTTGAGACCTCGCCCACCGAAGGCTGCGCACTAACCAACTGTGCCACCGTTGCTCCTCCTTTTCCCCCAGAGGACAAGGTTGACATATTTTAATCATTATCTCGAGGACAGGGTTACCAACAAAGCGAATTGTAATCTAATCTTAGCTGCACAATTACAAAGTGGGCGCATTGCGTTGTCAGTCACGGTTCATGAGGTCGGTCATGTGGCATGTCAAAATTTAACGTTCTATCATATAGGATGTGATACATTTGGGTTTTATGTTGTTGTATGACATCTTTGAAAGCTGGCTTTGTGATCTGTTTAAATTGATAAGTAATGATATTATCACTGGCAAGTCTTAGCAGTGACACTGATAGCCACACAGTGAACATGGCCACACCGTGTGGAGACTGGGCACTAGTCAGTATTTATGTACATGTAAAACTATGTTGAATAGTGTAACAACAACTAAACATTACCAAATTAAAAACTTAGAAATTTGAAACAAATGCTTTTTAGCCAAATCAAACAAGAAGAGTACTCACCACAGGGAACCCAATCTGCTATTATAGGTGAAAGTTACCCCCCCCCCCCTTTATCTGTAATTAGGACCATTTGTAACGGGCACCCCCTCCAGTATTAATCAGCAGGTGCTAAGGAAGCTCGGTGCCAAATTTGACACTTTTGTCACGTCTGTAACGATCCGGCCTATATTTTGCACTAAGAGACCTGACTATAACCCTAAAAGCCAATTGGTTTGATACCATAACCAAGAATGGGAAATAATCATAAACAATGATAAACACCTTACAAGCATGCAGCTCCTACATTACTGGTTTATTTATCATCTTCAGAGTCGCTGACTGTCAATGTGACCCCTGTACCACCCACTTATGACATGACTCTCTCCATGTTTGTGTATTCTGTCAACAGGAAAAATCTTCATCCAGTGTTAAGTTACCCAATATAGAGAAAACAAGTGCCAGGGGTGGAAACAGTGAAAATGAAAGGTTTAAAGCAAGAAACTGGAAAGTGTTAAGTAAAAAGGAGATACAGAAGCTGCCACCACAACAAAGAAGCAAATACCTGGCAGTAAGAGATCTTTTTTATACTAAAGAAACACAGCAAAACATAATAAACCATTTCAATCTAAGCTGCTATATACAAAAGAACATAATTTACAAAGAGTTGCTCAACCAGTTCCATTGTTGTTTTTCCCCTGCAAAGATGTTCTTCCTTTGCAGGGAAAAATTATTGTTTTACAAGACAAAAAACATCTGCAAGCGGAGGTATTTATGAAATTAAGGGTAACAAATCAATGATTGATTCCTTGCCAAAGTATTTTTTAAACTAATGTTTAGCAACTGTGTCTCTGTCATATTTTGTATTTCAGTATGAACCAGCTCCTAAAGAATGCAGTGAAGCTATGTCAGCTGCGAGAAAAAGACTGAAGGAGTTAGACAAATCACAAAAAAAGTAGGTGTAAAATTTTAAAGTGTTAAAATTTTCCTCTACCCCTAAAAGGGTTTACAGGAGAAATGAAACAAACATTGCAAAGAATAAAGCAAGTTCAAGTTCCAAACTGATAGGGTTAGCATCTTTCTACAAATTAAAAGTATCTTTTATAGTTTGCTCTGTTACAGCACTAATTAAATTTGTAGCACACTCTGGAAAAATAATATGGTTTTATGTTCACCACAACTTAATTTACTGTGTTTCGAATGGTTCGAAACGGTCTTTAATTTGTTCTTGAGAGTACAAAGGAGGACTGGAGTTGAACTTGAAATGGTCCAAACACTGTAGCTGCTATGGTGACCAGAACAAGGGCTTAGTCTAGAGTGACTCCACATACACCTAGAGCCCAAGACAACTCAGTCAGTTCCTACCTCTTCTAGCCTCCTATGTAGACATACTTAGGGTTTGTCACGCGTTCCTGATGAACCTCTAAGAATGTCTACATGGGAGGCTATGCCTCTTCATGTTTTTTTGTCATTTTTCCCTTTGACTATGAGACTTTTAGTATAAAATAACTTGTTAATTTGTTCCTTGCATTGTAAAGACATCACAAGCCACCACCCATGGAAGAGGTCGTTGAGAATGAAAAACACATCAAGATAATAGGACAGTTAAAGTAAGTAAGAAGCATAAGTGTTCTTACAAACCATGCGTGTTTAACAGTGAGTGTTTTTGTCAAACAACTCTGACTGGTAAAATCAAATCCTGTCTGATTGTCCTTATGGCACATCCTTGAAGAATGCTTTTCAGATCTGTTGCCATGTTAACAAGAAATTTTCAACCAGTTTGGAGCCTAGTGAAAGCCCACCTCAAGAGTTTGTTGAGTCACTAAACTTGACTCTAGTGGGCCAGGAATACATAAGGTTTTTGAGGAATTGTATGATGTTCCTACAATGGTGTACAGTTTCCTTTTTGATATTTGAACTGTGATTTGCTTACATCAACAGGGCAGCTGAAGCGAGAAACAGAATCAGGCTCACAAGACTAAGATACCAAAACAACCGGGTAAGATCGCGGCAAAAAAGGAGTCTTTCATAACCCAGTCATTATTCATATTGACTGGTTCTGCAAATAATGGAGAGACCTTCTGGTCATTTCAGGATGGGTACAAAAAAACCATTAATAACTAATTCTAAATCATGTCATGGTGCAAGCTGTCATTGATCTTACTCTCAGGTGGGACGACTAAAAGAACCCATAGCAACATACATGTAAACACCTCTGGCATTTAAAGTATCAAATACACTGTATCAATAGAAATTATAGAAAACAAAGAACCCTTAGCAACATACATGTAAACACCTCTGGCATTTTAAGTATCAAATACACTGTATCAATAGAAATTATAGAAAACAAAGAATTCAACACAATAGAACCTAGGAAAACAGAAGGTGCAAAACAAAGAAAACGTTGATAGGTCCTGCATGAAGGTATTAAACCCTGAAATATACAAACATGGTATCTCAAAACCTGTGCAAAAATTTACTTTTTTATTTACCATAAATCTTCTATTAAGCCCCCCTGGGAGGCTTTTTTTTCAAGCACTTTTTTGTGGGGGGGGGGGGGGGG